TTTCAAAACCCACCTTTACAAACCCCCATGGCTAGCCCCCAAACACCACACACCCACATGGACAAATCATTACCCCACCAATCCGTGACAACCCAAACTTAAAACCAAACCGTACCTCACCCTTCCATTATCCCAAACTCTAATAGCCCAAATTACCACTCCCAAAATCCAAGTTGCACCTCCACCACACCGGTATAAATTTACGGGTAGATTTTAGCAAGTATGACTTGACTAACCAGTGTGTAGGTAGTATTACAAATTCATCATCCAAAGGGGAGCCGAAACGAACCCATCCTATGGTTCTAAGGAATATTTGTCCAAAAGCCTCTCTTGCAGTATCTTCTCTAGCTACACCGTTATACTAAAGCTAAAAACCATACGGTATGGAGAATGGCTATGGAGTCAAAGATTAATGCCCTCCCGAAAACCAAGCACTTGGTCTCTAGTCCCTCCTACACGAGCCATGAACATTATAGGAAACAAGTGGGTCTTCAAAACCAAAAAGCATGTAGATTGTAGCATAGAAAGGTACAAGGCAAGGTTAGTTGCCAAAGGGTTTCACTAATAGGAGAAGATTGGTTTTGGGAAAACTTTTAGTCCAATGGTCAAGCCTCGCAACTATCGAGTAGTTTTGCCCTTAGTAGTCTCATACAATTAGCCCATCAAGCAACTCGATGTGCACAATGCATTCCTAAATGGCACCTTACATGAAATAGTCTATATGGCCCAACCAAGTGGGCTTTGTTAACTCTTAGTTCCCCGACTACGTCTGCAAGCTACATCACTCTCTTTATGGTCTTAAACAGATCCCGACGGGCTTGGTACTCTTGTCTTCGGGACTTTCTCCTAAATTTCAACTTTGAGGGGTCTAAAACAGATTCTTCTCTCGTTTATTTACAAAGTCGGGGGTTACAGAGCATTCTCGCTAGTCTATGTCGATGACATCATCATTACCGAGTGACCATTCGGCTTTTTTAGAGACAATAATACATGCTCGTAAACTCCAAATTTGCTACACGAGACCTTGGTGATATTAGCTTTTTTTGGACTTAGAGGTGATTAAAACATCGATAGGTATTATAATGTCTCGACGTAAATATATCCATGATCTCTATACTAAACAGGGAATGCTTGATCGTCGCCCCATCACCACACCCATGCCCACCACTTCAAAACTAAAAAATGGAGATGCTCGAATTCTTCTCTCGATCAAACTTTATATAGACAAGTTGTAGGTGCCCTTCAATATGCTACTCGACTAGATCGGATATTGCATATGCTCGTGAACAAAGTGTGTCAATTCATGCATCAACCTTCTTTAGAACATTGGGTGGTCGTCAAATGCATCTTGCGATACCTAAAGTACACATATACTTATGGTTTGCACTTTCGAAAATCCAAGTCTCAACTATTGACGAGCTTCTTTGATTCGGATTGGGCGGGTTCTTTGGATGATAGAAAATCTACAGGAGGGTATGCTATCTACTTAGGATCAAATTTAATCACTTAGAAATCCTCCAAGCGGAAGACGAGTAGTCCGTAGCTCTATCGAAGCCGAGTACAAAGCCGTCACGAGATCTTGCAGTCGAGATCACTTGGTCATGTCTTTACTATGTGAGCTTGACTCCACACTAGCTCACAAGTTGATTATTTGGTGTGATAATATTGGAGCTACTTATTTGGCGATAAACCCAATGTTCCATGCACGAACTAAACACGTGGAAATTGATTTTCATTTCATAAAAAACATGGTTACAAGGGGAGCTTGCAAGTAAAGTTCATTTCCACATAGGATAAAATTGTAGATATTCTAACCAAACCTTTTTCCATTGTCCGGTTTGAATTCTTGAGGGGCAAACTCACTCGTTGGAACCCATCCATAGTCAATTTGTAGGGGAGTATTAAGACAAGAGCCGGCCACAACAAGCTTTGTTGCACTTCGGAGATAAATTCTGCTGCAGACATTAGAGTTTGTTACTTACAAGAACTCTGCTGCAGAGTTTGTTAATTACTTGTACTCTCTAATTCTTATCCATTGTATTATCTAGAATTCTATTTAAACTGTACTTGTACATATATATAAAGGACATGTTAAAGTCCTAATGAAACAAGGCTGAAAAATTACTCTTCAAACGAGTAGCATAAGAATTAATTTCCCTAGGCCCTAAGTATTTAAACTTCTTTGTTGTAATTGTTTAGACAATTTTGTTGTTTAATTAAAACTAAATAGAGAGATTTTTCTCTTCTTCAAATCATCATTCTTACGTTGTATAGAATGCATCTTTATCCTTGGCACTAATCGCCCAAGGTGGTAGCATAATCATCGCTTTTGAAGAATCAAGATGGCATATATATGTCCTTACTCCCTAGATGTACATATCCCAAATCTCTATAAACTTTACAAGTAGGTTTTGATTCACTATTTACCCTTAATCGAAATTTATTGAATTTGACTTATCTATTGAAAGTTTAGGTTTAGATTTTAGGCGTGAAAGTTAAAGAAACACAAACGTGAAATTTTCTATCAAGAAAATTTATTTGTGTATTCCTTTAATTTTCACTCCTAAACCTAATTAAGTTTTTTTTTTTTTTAAAAAAAAAATAGCAACCTAAGTGAATTTAGTTTAGGGTTTTATAGCTAAAAAATATATTTTTTTAATTCTTTGTCAAATTTTAAAATGATAAAATAATTTAAGAAAAAAGTTTCTTTCAACAAAAAGAGGGTAAAATTATAATTTTATATCCAAACACATCATCGACTAACAAATAAATTGATAAAAATTTTCCATTTGTAGTTTTGAAAACATTGATATACTCAAATGAAAAAAATTAAAGCTAATATACTCGATTGAGAAAAAAAAGATAAAATTATAATTTGATATTTTAAGGGTAACAAGCACACCATTAGTGAAAAAAAAAATTTAATAGAAATACTTTATTGATAATTTTAAAAAGTTAGTGTATTAAAAAAAAATTATGTACTTGATTGAGAAAAAATTAAAAAAATTATGTATTTGTAGTGCAATTATCCTGGTAATAGAATGATAATGTGTTGTGATGATGAGGTAATAGTAGTGATAAGGTTGAGGGTAGCAGTGAATTTTTTGAAGTGGAGTCAATATTTGGATGTTATTATTAGTAAATTATTGTTGTAAAATATTTTATAAAACTTTATGAGTTGAAATTATTTTACAGTAGAAAAACTAATTTCAATAATTGATCGGGCTAATTTTTGTATAAAATCTTTTATAGGAAACAAATAGAAAAACATCAAGAAAACATATTTTATGCAAAACAAAATCCTCTTAAATTTCAAGTTATCTAATGATCTTGAAAGAAAAAAGCCTAATAGACTTAAAACATGAATATTAGTATTGCTGACATTGGGATTGTTTGAAGAAAAATATGCCCAAACAAGTTACGTTACGCCAACCTTTTTTTCTTTTGGTCCTTTTAAAAAAATGTTATTCTCACTCTGAAGTTGTTAATCTCATTTCATAATTTACTTTTATTATTTAGATAGATTAAAATACAAGAAATTTAATATTACTCCAATAGTAATTCCCAATACTTATTTATAATAGAGAGATAAACACAAAGATGAGAGAAAATTATATATAAAAAAAAGTCTAGATGAAAATATTCTTATTATTTTTAATGGGTTTAGATGTGAATGACAATTTATTTAACTATCTTGATTTTTATTTTAATGAAATTATAATTATTTTGTATAATTTTTAAATAGAAAATTAACTATTTTAATTCAGAATTATTAAAATTTAAATAAATAATTTAAATGTGAAATAGAAAAAATTTATTTTAATTCAGTAAATATTTTGATTTTATTTAAAAAATTATTAAATTTTAACACCAAACATTAATTAGGATGATTTTTTGTTTTGCATAAAATATTTTATAAATATAAAATATTTAAAATATCTTATCGCATGAGAATAATTTTTTTTTTAATGATAATTGGTAAATAATGATGTTAAATATTTGGTAATAGTAGAATGATAATATGTTATGGTAATGAAGTAGTAGCAGTGATTGATTGGGGTTATAGATGGGTTGGGAAGGGAGAGTAGTGGTAGCAGTGAAAGTAAAAATGGAATCGTGATAGTGCTTAAAGTGGTGGTGGCATGATGGGGTGGCACTGGTGGTAAGGTTGCAGTGATGTGGTGATTTGATGGTACTGTGAATAAATTTTTGTTTACAAAATATTTTATAAAAATTTATGAGTTGATAATATTATATAATAAATAAATTATGTTTAGAAAATTGAGTGTAAAATATTAAATGAAAAAAATAACACTCAGGTTGAAAACGTAACATTAGCATCGCTCATGCTGGGTTTGCTTGAAACAAAATACGCTTTCTTCGAAAAGAAGATGAAGGGGAAAAAAAAAGGAAAAAAGAAGGATGATCCTTGTGTCATTTAAAACTCTTATTTGAATGATATGTTGTGTATTAAGCAAATTTACCACCAAATTACTGCCTCTCCTTATAATTATAATGCATGACGTTTATCTCAATTATATGACCTCTATAGGATCAGAGGCCTGTCTTTCATAGTTAACTGCGAACAAAGATTGTGTTCAGAAACATAATTGCAAAGAAGTACCATGAACAAGCTGGATAACTCTGAAAACCTGAAGAAAGGGAACCTAATAGCCAATTCCCATCAATGAAAGCGACCAGAATCTGGAACATTTTACTTTTAAGGCATCTTACACACTTGCTCTAGTGAATTCAGTTTGATCCATGTTTGTGCCCGACAAGAAAGAACTTGCAGTTTTTGCAGAAAGTAAAACACAATGACCTAATGCAAAAAGGTTCAACACCACCGAATATTATCGAATTCCGATTTTACAATACCAGAAAACAGGCCGAAATCAAATCCTTACCAAACTCTCCCACTGGGAGACCAAAGCCGCAGAATGGTATTTATTTTTAATAATAGGATGACCATCTTTTCGACCCCAAAAAGGTTCAGCAGAATGTTAGATGCCTTTAACTCCCAACAGTTTAGAAGTGAGAAACAATGGGCTTGTAGTCAAACAAAATGACCTTTTCCAAAGCAGGCAAGTGGATGCCACCAAAACAAACAATGGGCTGATTCATATTAAATGGTTGCCAAGTGGTACCATGTCTTCTTCACTTGACCAATAGTCTATTAATTTTCCTTTCTCAGAAGGTAGAAATTTTCTCTTTAATTTTATGGTTCTATTTAGAAGGGGAGAGGGTAGCTATTTATGATAATAACCGCAAATGTGTCAACAGTTTAGAAGTTGTTTTTCCCCTAAGGATTCGATTAACCCTTGTTTAAGTCTAGTTGAAGTACCCTTCAACAATGGAATAAATTAACTTGTTTAAAACTTTTGAGAGAAAGTTCTCACATTGAATGAGAATCCTTTAGATTGTTAAGCACAAATCTTTGAAATTGTAAATCCTAGTGATGATTAAGGTTTTGGAAGAGAATGTATAACGTGTTTTCACTCAACTTTATTCCAGATTGAAATTCTGCCATTTATAGGCTTACAAGTGTGTATAAAGGGGTTAATATTTACAATGTTTATCTATTTACAGAGATAAGTCTTTAGCTGTTGTTATAGTATTTGACTTGGCTGCTGCTGTGAGGAACCGTGATTGCTGTTGCTGTGATATGGCGTGTGCACTTTCGTTTCTGGAGGAAGAGACCCTGTTAAGACAGGGGACGTTACATGAAGAGATTTGATTGGAGCAGGAGACTCTTCCGTTAATAGTGATCATTGTAAGTTATAATTAACAGTCTGTTTAGAAAAGAGGAGAATGGAGGGGAGTGAAGGTTAATGACATCTTAACCTTGTTTTGAACGAAAATTTTCAATGAAGAGGGAGGAGAATGGAGGTTAATTCATTTTTAATGTAGATGCTAAAAGAATGTCAGGAGCTATTTATGATAATAACCGCAAATGAGTAGATGTTGTAATTCATACAACTTTGTCAAAAAAAAAACCATAAAATTAAGTGATATTTAAGGCATATTTTCAACAAACCCACGATAAACTTTTAAGCTATTTTGGTTTGAAGAACAAACATTCAAGAAATCTCGTGATAGAATTGGAACAAAAATCCCACTATAAATTAACAGATTGGAGTTATGCATTGCAACAAAAACACTTGAGTTGGCTTAAACTTGTGTTGTCATCTCTCTTTATCTTTTTCTATGGCAGTATTGTGGATTTTCTTCTGTCTTATTTTTATACCGAAGTGGGGGGGGGGGGGGGTGGGGTGGCGGTTCAACGTTAGAAAAAGCAAATGTGCCAGTTAGCTACAAAACATTGAATTTCAATCTTGAAACTGCAAGCAAGTCAAGCTACACAACATTTGTGTCATCTTTGCGAGATAAACTGAAGGGCAATGAAGAGTACTATGGCATACCGATGTTGCCTGAGCCTTCCAAGGCTACAGATCCAGAGCAGCGCTTTCTATTAGTTGGGCTGAATGTTACAAAGGAGAAATCTATCACGCTTGCACTAGATGTCAACAATGTATATGTGGTGGGTTATCTTGATGATAAATATCGAGCTCATGTCTTTTCCGATGCTTCTAAGATTGCAGAGGATTCTCTTTGGAAAGATGCAAAAGAACGCTTACCTATTAAGTACCCAAGTACCTATGGAGGAATAGAAGGGAAAGCTAATCCTCGACCAAAAGTTGAATTGGGGATTGAAAAGCTAAAATTTGCCATCCTTTCTGTCTTTGGGAAGCAACAGATCAAGGAGAATCTTGAGGCAAAACTTCTTCTACTTTCAGTCCAGATGGTGTCGGAGGCCACACGGTTCAAATATATTGAGAAAATGATACTCAATAGTATTGAAGGAAAGGGAACATACAAATCTTTTTTCCCTAATCCCTTAGTGATTAGCTTGGAGAACCGTTGGCAAGACCTCTCTAAAGGTGTTCGAAATTCCAATAAAGGAGTCATTTCTCCAGCAGTTCAATTAATAGATCCCAACAATAAACCCTTCAAAGTTGACAAAGTGCAAGCTGTAGCTCCCTATCTGAATATATACAACATAAGAGTTCTATAGATATCAGCCATCGAAAGAGCCTTTGACAGATGTAAAGGGAATAAGCAGACAGTGAAGTTCTTTCTCTGCTCTTTTGTGTTGCACAAGACATTGATATAATTAGTACTATTTTTATTGTAAGATGTAAATATGGCATGTACCAATTTGGAAAGAGCAACAAGGTCCGCGGGTAAAAAAGGCTCTTTTATTTTCAAATTTTTTATTTTTTGTGGTTTTGATTGGTTTTGACATCCTGAGTTTTATTTTGTTTTTGAATTAGAGTTAGAAATTTGAAGGATTTGGATTTTTGTTATATTAATTGGATTGGATTATTAGATTGAAGATTGTTAGGAATACTTGACAATTTAAAATCATCAAAATTAACAGTTCGGTTTGTGATAATTTTTGGCATTGGGATTTATTTGGATTAAGAAATTAACACTAAAATGTGGCTAATTATTGCGGTTTGTCAGAGTATTAGCATTATGAGATGGAAATCTTATTTGGGTTGTCTTATTTTGATTGTGTTGTTGATGGGTCACAACTTGGTTTTTGTTGTATATAAAGATGGTAGGTAGAAAATTGTGAAGCCTTATGAGTGGACATTGTTTCTTTCTAGCTGAAATTTGTTTATTTCGTATTTCGTAAATGGACATTAGAAATGTTGAGGTACAAAGCAACTGCTAAGTTCATTGACTGCACTTTGTATTTGAGTTTTGTAACCCTTAACAAGCAAAATGATGTGCTAATCGTGAGCAGTTTTTCAAATGTTCTTTCATTATAGAATTATGTATTCATACTACTGATGTTGATTGTTTTCTGCATTATATTCATTTTTAGGATACTGATCATGTTGACTATGTTGACATACGAGGACCAAAGTTGAACAACTACTGAAATAATCAGATCCCATTGGCTTTAGTGTAGCACTATGCGTTTTTGGTTGAAAATTTTGGCTCAAGAACAATCCTATTCACCTCTACGTACGTTTCCTCTTCAGGATGGGGTGAGGAACTCAGTTTGATTATACGTTGTTTCATTGTCGCTGACCACTTCAACTCCCGAAAATAACGAGATCGCCATTGTTTGAAAATATCTCAGCTCCAACCTTTCCATTTCAATCCATTTCTTTCGCCACTTAGTGTAATTTTTAATGCTACTCATACCACAAGTCGTTAATCAACTTTACCAATTTTTCTTGATCATCAACGTACACATATCAGAAACTAAGATTATTAATGTGGTTCTGAAGAGATAAAAGAGCAATATATACAGAATCGTTATCTTTGATTATTATTGAATCCGCTACCACACTTTCCAGTCTCCAAAGTGCCTACTGTTTCTGTAACTGAAGTCCACCCTGCCATGATTTCTATGCCACCATCTCAAACTATTTTTATCAACATTCTAGAAAATGGCTTGTTGAAGAAATGTATGAGATATGATGAAGAAAAAGCATGCATTTCTTCTTGACAGCTTCTGTCTTATATGCTTTATGATTTATTACTGTAACAAATGTAGATTATAAAGTGAAAGGTCTGTATGTATTTCCTTTCTATTTTAGAACTACCTAGGGAAGAAATGGAAAAGATATGGAACTACTTTTGTGCTCACTATGCTGCATGTCCCACATCGGCTGGTTATATTTACATTGAAGGTTTTATAAAGAGACGGAGTGGGTGAGCCGCAAGCAGACTCAAGATGGTCCCCGGACCCGTTTCTGCTGAAATGCAGCTCTTGAACAAGTAAAGTTTAGGAATACGTTAATTTGCCTTTGTGCGAATGGCTGAGACATGTGTGGAGCCTGTGACTTCAATTGCTGAAGTAACTTGGCCAAAAATGCACAGTGATTCACTCAGTCCACAGTCGTGTGTTCCAACAGAACAGGGCTTACGACTCATGGTGCGTTCATTTTTTTCCTTCATTAACATTGTGGCAGCCTTTTCTTTTTCCATATTATATAAACATCCAATTAATAAATAAAGTATATACGTGTGTGATTTATCATAAAAGGAAGGAAATAAATGATGGTATGTGTCACCATGTTAATTTTATTACATAACAAGATGAGGTAATGAAATTAGATGGAGGGTTGAAACAAATATATTTTACACCGTAACTGAATAGAAAAATTAAAATGATCAGAACTATATAGTATAAAATTATAGAATGATTTTTACCCTTATTTATAATATAATCTCTATTACTATAAAAAGAAAATAATTATGGTTCAACTGTCTAGTGTTAAAAACTTTAAATAATATAATAATATGAATATTATGCTATCTTTCCGGGTGTCACATTATCTTTTTGTAAAACCCTCCACGATATAAGCATGATTTTCAATATATATATATAGTACTCTTACTGTCTAAGCAATATGAATGATTGTGCCACATCGTTTGAAGGAAACCATCCGGTTAACAAATGATCTCAAGTTCAAAGTTGGGCTTTATTAAGAGTCCTTGGCCTAACCTAGGGTTAATATAGCAGTTGATATTGACGAGGCCCTTTGTGAGATCTTTCTCCCGAGGGGCTGCTAAATCAACTCATAAACCGAGAAATCAGTTTGAAATCATTTACATTTTTGTTAAAAAAAAAAAGAAACAGAAATAAAAGAAATTATTTGTTTCTACACTCTATTTTAGAAAACATTCAAAACCAACAAGTAGTAGTCAAAAGTTGTCAAAATCAAATTTGTTTAGCTATTTTGAAGAAGTGCTTAATGCTTAAGTTTATTTTTATCTTTTGTCTTGTGGGTCGTTTCAAGACTTTTTATGTATTTGGAATTAGGAATGCGTGGCATTAGACATCGTGTTGGTCCGGTTGCACCAAATGATGTTGTTGTCCCTCCCGGCAACATAGGGTTACACCCATCGCAAACCTTCTTCTAGGTTTATAACCTCAAAGTTATGATGATGCCATTTTCTTATTTACTTTTTCGGTTGTAATAGACTTTTGGTGGTTGTGCTTTTTTATTCTAATAGCTGCTTTTTTTTTTTCCAGGTGCTTAATATCCCAACCAAGATTAACAATGATAACGTGGAGATCATCTCCTCGGTCGAGTTGATCAAGAAGGCTGATAAAGCCGGCTCTTCCGAGGTCTGTTCCACTAGCAAAGATTGGTGTTAGGCCATTTTCTTATGGTTTGGTTGTCTTGTTTGTTTGTGACAATGGCTCGGTCTTCGGTATTGAGATGATTGACCTTACGAGAGGATGACCTTACTAAGAAGTTTGCTTCGCTGGTGTCTCAATCATCGCTCCTTGTCTTTGGCCATCACTTACCCAACCCTTGCTGCTGCACCACACATGTTCATCAATGCCTACAAGAATGTTTTGTCTCGTTGCTATTCGTACTTTATGCTTTCTTTCCTTTAAGCTGGAGCAAAGTCAAGAGAATACGAAATAGAATAAAACTTTACATGACATTTAATCATTTTCTATGATTGCAATTTCAAAATTTCAGTTGAGCTTAAGCTTGATTGATGTATAGAAGTGGAAGAAATATTGTCCATTTACTTAGTTACAAAACTTAAACTTTTACATGAATTTTTAACCATAGAATTTCTTCGATCTAATGCTAATATTGTCCAATGTTGAAAATCAAAGAAGCATTGACCCATTTTCAATCCATAGGCTCTTGAAAGGAAGACAATCGGTGACCATAAGCATCATATAGAAGATTGTTGGCTAATTCCTTGCATAACTAATTCAAAACAATTTTCAACTCGTTCATCTCGCCTAATTGCGGAAAAATGTTCACTCAACGCATCAAGATAGAACTAAAATTCAATTGTGATTATTTTTCTCTAGGCATTTTCCTTTATTTTTTTTTCCATAGAGAATCCAAGATTTCGATAAAAATCGTGCAATAAAATTTGTCTTAATTATTTTATTACAAAAAACATTAAAAGGCATAGGGATTTTACTATTGTTAGATTGTTCATCAACTCTCGGTTTATTATGGATGGAGTTTTTTTTTTTTTTGGACTTTTACTTTTTACCCTAAATTACTCCTATCGCCACTCAATAGACTTGAGAAAATCTACATTTGCCCTTGATCGGTTCCCTTTTTAATTTTCTTGCCAACTCTTTTTTCATCATTTCCCTTCTCTCTTTTTTTTCTTTGCATTATAAATGGCCTTCTCTTTTGTTTTTAATTATCCTCATTGCCACTTAGTGGATTTATGAAAATCTCCATCTACCCTTGCTCTTTTTTGTCTTATTTCTCTTTTAGCCTTTTTTTGGTCATTTCCTTTTCTTTCTTGATGAAGCAATATTTAATGCTTCTTTGATTGCCAAATTTTTCTCCTCGTTTTCATGAGAAGAGAGGAGCTTCAAGAGTAAATTATAAATTAGTTCCTCTTTCATAGGAAAACGAATTAATTAGTTCATTCGATTTCAAGAACTAATTTTTGTCATTCTAACTTTTTTTATTTTTATTTTTATTCTTTTTACTTTTTTTTTTAAATGAAACTAAATAAAAATATGAAAAAGATCGATGAGGAAAGAAGATATTTTTAAAAATAAAAAATAAATTAGTATGGCTAAAAAGATTAAATAATTATTTTTTGAAATCAAAAGGATTAATTAATTCATTTCCCAAAACAAAAAGGATTGATTTATAATTTATGTATCATTGTATTCACATCTAATGTATGAAATAAATATATCTATATGATATGTTTTTATATTTTAAAATAAAGAAATATTTTAGATTATATTACTATCATTATTTAAAATTATTTCTTTAATTTGTCATTTCTTATTAAAATTTTTATGAAATTAATTTTTATTTTTTAAAATATTATTTATTTATAAACATGATTTATTGTTGCCTATGTATGGATTTTTAAATAAAATTTTACAACATGATTATGTAGAAAAATTTTTAGAGAATTTGTATTAGATTTTTTGAAAAAAATAATTTACAAAATAAATTTTTAATTATAAATCCATGAAGTTTTAGATTTTATTTTTAGATTATCACTAGTCTTTAGTTAAGAATTAAATAAATAAACATAAATCATGTTTATTTTTTATTTTTTGGTAGAAATTTTTTGAAAAATACAACGAATAATTAGTGAAATGCAAATTTTTAATAAAAAATTAATTATTATATTTTGGTGGATACATAGTAAAACACAAATTTTCAAACTAAAATAATTTTGCATGTTTTTTCGATCTGCAAGTAGTAGCACAAGAGAAAAACTAGTAATACTCTAAAAAATATGGGGTTGTGACTTGTTTATAACCCTACTCACTTTTTTTTAAGTTGTTGTGAATACATGCTTTCTCACTTTTTTTTTCCAAGTTGTTGTGAATACATCCTTTTTCTTTCTTTCTTTCTTTCTTCCATTTGTTTTTTTCCATCAATTTAGGTTTGTTTTTATTTTTATTTTTTCATATTGTTTCATTTTATTCTCTAGAATTTTAAAATAAAAATTTTAATCCCCTCACTAATACACTACTCATGCCTTTTTTTTTTCATTTTCTTTTTTCCATCAATTTATGTTCTTTTTTTTTTTTTAATGAGGTATTAAAACTTTAAAAAGTCAATCATTACTTTTTTCACACAAACTAACAATTATATAACATATATAATATTTTTTACATTTATACAATATGTTTTTAAATTTTATTACGATATTTGTTTTTTCAAGTTGTTTCACTGTACATGTCTTTTTTTTCCTTTGCTTTTTTTTTCCAACAATTTGCGCTCTTTTTTTAAAAAATAAAAATAAAAAATTTTAGGTTGTTTCATTTTGGTCCGTAAAATTTTAAAATAAAAATTTTAATCCTCTAACCGATGCACTTGCTCAAGTTTTTTGTTTTTTGTTTTTTTTTTAACTTTGCTTTTATTCATCAATTTATGTTCTTTTTTTTTTTTTTGTTTAGTTATATGTTAAAATTTTAAAAAATCAATCGTTACTTTTTTCACATAAACCGACGATTATATAACACTACTCATGCCTTTTTTTCTTTCCTTTTTTTTATCAATTTATTTTTTTATTTAATTAGATGTTAAAATTTTAAAAAATTAATCATTATTTTTTTCACACAAACTGATGATTATATAATATATACAATATTTGTTACAATTATACAATATGTTTCCAGATTTTAGAATAAATACAAATCACTCTTATTGTTTAAAATTGATTTTTTCATAAAAAACCTCTTCAAGTTAATTTTTATTCTTATTTTTTATAATTTTATTATTAATAAATATGACTTATTTTCTCTAAGTATGGATCCGAATAAGGTTTGTTTTTTAATACCTGTTTTTGTTTGTTTAATTGTTAGACAATCAAATTTTAAAAATTGAATACATGTATTTTATTTTCTTTTTTTTACATAATCAAATTAGTTTTATAGTTTTTAGTGCACTCTATTAACTTCAATATATATTTTATCATTTATTTTTTTAATATATTTTTAGCTTATTTTATACATTCTCACTTATTGAGTATTGCTATTATGTATAAAAAATAATAATATTATAGTCATTGATTTTATTAGAAATCACCTATGTATCTACACACACAATACTAACTATTTGTTATTATTTTTTTAATATTTAAAATGATTTCTTTGAATAAAATTATTGAAATAATATTTTAGAATAACCGCCTAATAATTCAAATACAACTTTGTACACTAATATTATTCATTTTTTCTAT